AGAAGAAGAAGAAGAAGAAGAAGAAGAAGAAGAAGAAGAAGAAGAAGAAGAAGAAGAAGAAGAAGAAGAAAGAAAGAAACCTGCCAATCAATCCCGCACACCCCTACTCAATCCCGCACACCCCCTGGCTTAACTGTAGGCTTAATCTTCTGGCATAAAAATACAGGGCCACATGTACTGTGAAAATTTTGGGAAGCTGTGGTGATTGGGGTGGCACATGCCTGTAATCCCAGAACTCAGGTGAAGGCAGGAAGAACAGGAGTTCAAGGTCATCTCCAGACATAGCTAGTTCAAGACCCACTTAGGAAAAAACGAGACCCTGCCTCAAACACGAGTCATGTACAATCAATTTAGACTATGCTCACTGCCACACTGCACCTGCAAGCCCGCATCCGTAAGTTTAAGGCTGTCCTTAACTACATAGCAAGCCTGGTCTACATAGGAAGTTCTAGGACAGCCAGGGCTACATAGTGAGATCCTGTCTCAAAACTATATTAATGGGCTGGATAAATGGCTTATCGGTTAAGAGGCCCACTGCTCTTGCAGAGGACTTAAGTTTGGTTCCTAGAACTGACTGTAAGTTTAGATCCAGGGGATCCAATATCCTTTTCTGGCCTCCAAGGGCACTTGCACTCACAGAGACACACATAAACAAAAATAAAAATAAAACCTTGGGCTACGTGTGGTGGCACACACCTTTAATCCCAGCACTTGGGAGGCAGACAAGTGGATCTCTATGAGTTTGAGGTTAGCCTGGTCTACATAGATAGTTCCTAAGTCAGCAAACTATATAGTGTGAACCTGTCTCAAACAAACTAACAAAATCTTTTTCTTTTTTTAATTTTTTAAAGGGGCCAATGAGATACCTCTGTAGGTAAAGGTGTCTGCCACCAAACCTGACAACCTATGTTCAATTCCTGGGGCAAACACATGCACACACAATGAAGTTTTTTCATTAAAAAATAAAATAAAATAAAAAGGCAAAGCAGGAGGAAGACAAAAAGAAAGTGTCCCAGCTGAGCATGTTGGTACAAGCCTGTAATCCCTGTGCTCAGGAGACTAAGGGAGAAGGACCCAGAGCTCAAGGCTAACCTGGGCTACACAGCATGGGAATTGGGGGTGTAGCTTAGTTGGTAAAGTATATATCTGCCTAGCATGCACAGAGCCTGGAAATTACCCCTGGCACCACATGAAATTGGGCACAGTGACATGTGCCTGTAATCCCAGGACTCAGGTTGTAGAC